CAGACGCAGACGCAGACGCAGACGCGGAGACAGACGCCGATGAGGCCGAGTCCTCCTGGCTTCGACGCGAACGCCGGTCCCGAGGGAAGTCAGCCCAACACAAACCGAGAGCAGCACCAAAACTAAAAGACCTTGCCCATTCCCCACCTCGCTCAGACAACTACACACACACACACGCATACACACACGGACACACAAGCAAGCAAGTGTAGAAAGAAGGGGGTTTTTGAAGAGAGCCTTCCGGCTCGTAAGTCGGTTTCACACCATGCCGTCGGATCGGTGGAGCCGGGGAGGAGGGAATAATGTTGTTGGGTTGCGCAAACAAGTCGTCGCCTGCCCGTCCCTCGAATCCGAAGCGCGCGGCAAACACAAAACAACCCATCTCGTGGCAACCGTGTGGAGAAGGGTACACTCGGAGGTGTGCAGTGGGTGAGACGCAGAAAAGCCCACTGTGCGTCGGCGTGTGGCGAGTGTGAAGGAGCCGGTTGGCGTCGTCGACATCGACGACCACTCTTGCGGGTTGATCCGCTTCTCGGAGCGAGAGAGCCGGACCATTCCGACTGATGGCATTGACGACGCGTCGCGCCGTCCAGCAAGGACAGTTGCGAGGACACATTCCACTTGCGCACCCTCCTCTCGAGTGTGTACGTGTGTGCTGGCGTGTCAGGTAGACGCACGAGGCCATGTTCTCTCGTCGCCACGCCGTCTCGGCTGTTGGTTACCGAATCCACGAATCGCGAATGGCATTTCGAGATACGCCAAAACGAGGAGGACGGAGTGAGCAACATTCGAGGAAGGCACAATCGAAGCGACTCGAGACGAGACGTACAAAAAGAAGACGATCGGGAGGAGGAGTAATACAAACAGCCTCACAATGGCGATAGATCTTCGAGGCCGTGGGACGCACAAGAAGAGGACCTGGACGATCCAGATCTGGACGGCTCGGCAGAGAGGGAGTTGTGCCCGATGGGCTCGACAAATAGGCACCAACTACCATAGCTGCCATAGCAACCACAATCAAGGCAGAAAAGAGAACTTACCAGTGCAGACCTGAACTGTCTGGCCAGAGGCGGAAGTGGAGCTCGAGGCCGCGGTGAGCCGAAAACGAGAGGTTGACGACTCGACAGCCGCGTCAGTGTCGGGCTACGGTCATGACTACGGTCGGCAGACAAAGCCAACCAACTGAACAGACAACTAAAGGACCAACCAACTGAACAAGCAACTGAAGCACCAACCAGCCTGGCCAGCCCAACGATTGAGGGCTGAGGCGTCGACAAGACGGGCCACCAGCGCCGATAAGGCAACGGGCCGGTTTCGTAGGGCCTGAAACGAGGCTGTCCCGCTTGGCCTTGACTTCTGGGTCGTTGCGAAGCCGGAGAAAGCGTCAATAGACGCTGGCCAATCAGACTGAGACGCATGAGTCATGGCGAGGAGAAACGCCCACGCACGGTGGCGGAGACGGGCGGCAGACGAATGGGGCGTTAAGAGGGAAAAAGGCAGGCGTGAATGGAGGAGATGAGGTCGATTTCACCGCCGCAAATGTTTGATGGCGCGAGAGATACGATGCCACCGTTGCTCCCACCCCGACGGCTAACGGCAAACTGCACACCACCAGATCACAACACATACCACACCACACCACACCACACTACGTTAAATCACATCATACTAAATCACACCACACTA